TTAATTTGAGCATTTTCAAATGTTAAACTTTTTTTGTGTCCTTTTTTAATTTGACCATTTACCTATTTTTTCCTAAGAGGTAGATCAACAAAATAATTACATGGTTACAGGTATCGTGTCCGTTGATCCAGGAAGTGAAGACAAAGGGAGGGATGGTGGAAGAGGGGCAGAGCTGGAGGAGGACTGTGGGGGGAGGAGGGTGGGACACTGGGCCTCAGGACCCCAAGGTGAGGGCCTCTGGGGGAGCTGGTTATCCAAAGTGGTCACGGAGAGAAATGTGGAACAGGCACAGAGTGTGGTTTATCTACTGAGGGACAGAATACATTTCAGGGCCCTCAGGTTCTCATTCAAGAGAGACCGAACAACCCTGCCCCACCAAAAGAGCAACAAGGGTTTAGTTTCCCATTTATTAACTTTGTTCCAATCCTCGGTGGCCCCCTTATCACTCAAACCAACATGTCCCAGGCCTACTAGGATGCCCATAATAGACCCAGTCGCTCCCCACACATAGACCTCTCCCTCCCTGCTCCTGCACCCCACTTCACCCTCTGTATTTCTATTTAATTTTTACAGTCCCAACTCTAAGCCGGAGAGGTAAAATGAAAAAAAAAAAATAAATTAAAGTGAATGAAAAAAAATACTGTAACATGCACTGTTCGCTCTTGTCTGGTTGATAAAAACAATCTTATGGCTAAGTCTTGAGGTAGCGTTCCCAGTTATGTGTGAGGTTTGTTTAATCTTTGTAGCATCCCATCTATGATGTCTCGTTTAAGTGAAGACCAGAGTCTACCAATGAGGAAAAAAACCATTGTGGTGTGCATCTTTGTTTCAATAATCATAGCCGTCATTACGAGAGCTTGAATCTGTTGTCAATATGCTAAGCTACAAGCTTTGATGGGAAGTTTCAAAAGAGTTTTGTCATATTGTTGTGGGTTTGTTTTATAAGTGGATAATCAACAGTCCACATGCCAAATGTCGGCCATGAATACAGCTTGTCAACATATCACTCAAATTGCATAAAAAAGGACTTCAGTTTAGAGATGAGAGGAATTTTGTTTGTGGACACAATAGTGAGCCATTCGCTTTGCCACAGACAACGAGCATGGATTTCATGTTATAGTGTTTTAAAGTGTGAGGACCAGAGAGTAAGCCACTCAGTGAACAGACCAGGTGTCATCCATTCCAGATAAAACCAAATTCTTATTATTTGTCTTTTTGAGTATAAAAACTTGTGTTTGGCACAGTTATTACTTACATCATGTAATGCGTTACATGTTAGTATTTTTTTTTTTTTAGTAGCTGTTTAAGAGATCTGTGCATTTAAAAAAGGATCAGAAAAAAATGTAATCAACTATTTTTCCAAACTAAAGCAACAGAAACAAATTGAAAAAGGTATATGTAATAAAACTAGAAACATCTGAACAGAAGTGAGAAAACGAACACAATCGAGGCCAGCGTGAGAGAGGGTGGAGGACTCTGTAGTTCCCCTCAACTCCAAAAAAAATAATTGTTTTTTGTTTTTTTTAAGGTCCTCCTAGTCCTGTGGAGTACAGAAAATTACAAATACAATCCTGGTAGTAAGAGAGTGTGGGTAGAAGGATCTTAAACCAGGGTGATGAGATAGTGAAAGAAACCTAGAGGACAGGAGGTGGTTACTTGTGTGATGTTAAGTCCACTTTGACCGGACTATATGGTCGTCTACAGTTGCATTTCCAGTGACGTAACACAAATAGGCAATTCTTGTACGTCAAACAATGGTACACTATTTTTCTGTCAGTCTCTGACATAGTAGATAACAGTCCCTCCCGCGCTTTCCCCAAAAGATTGGCCCATCTCCCATCACTCTTCTACACCTCCCTTACTAAATTGCATCAAGTTTTTAAAAAGTCCTGGAGGTTCTCGGTCATTTCAATATTTAGTTGTTTACATTATTCAATTAGTGTAACAGTATTTAACCAGATGTCATGTCCAAATAAAGCTTGCTGTATACAAAAAAAAAAGAACAAAAAAAAGGCTGCAGTCTGAATAATCCAAAATAGTGTGTCTTGGTGTTTGTGAAAAGAGCTCTATGGGTCGGAAAGAGACGGAAACTTCTGAGGAGCATTTGTACCCCACATGATGATGGAGTTATACGCTCATTGCCAAGGAGACCTCTAAACATGTCAGGTTAGCTCTTGCCATGGGGAAACAAGAAGTTGCCGTCTCTTGAAAAAAAAATGGAAGCATAAACAGTTGAATAGACTTTCACCTGTCAATGGTAAGAAAGTATGTTTCAAAGCCGCTGGCCAGCCTATTGGAAGTGTTTAGTGAGTAGCTCAGGTTGTGGAAATGATGTCAATCAATGACCTGGCACGTTTTACTCTTCGGCTTTTCCATCATTTTTTCAAGATTTATTTCCCCATAGTTATTTCAAAAATACAAAAGTCTGGTTATCGGTTTCCTTTTACATCTTATGAACAGGTTAAATCTATTTATTTTATGCATTTTTCAACTTCCTTGCTTTTTGCTCCCATTTTTAAAAGGTTATTGAATTCCCTCTGTCTATTGAAAGACAAACCGAGGCCATAGGTTATCTTTCTACTTTTTTCTGCTTTTTTACACCCCACCACTTCCCCCACAAAAAATGTAACACTTAAAACCAATAAACAAAAAAACACTAACACACCCAAACCCACACGCAATCACACTCACAGTTCAAGAGCATGAGAAATGGGGAGGGCTGAGGCTTATTGGTCAGTGCACAGAGCTAATAAATATTCACATTCAGTGTTTTCAGAGCAAGGGGACAGATTGAACGCCCTTCAGTCTTACATCAACATTTCTCTGGCACAGCACTAAAGATGGACTGCAACATGTAAGTAAACATTCTGCGCATTAAGATGATGTCATCATGAAACAGACAAGAGGGCCTTGGATACACAGTGGTCAAAGTCATATCATGGGAGTTCTGCCTCAAAAACCTGGCCTGTCATGTTGTCAGTATTCTAGTTCAGCAGTATAACAAATTATAGCTTGTATGACAAACATATATAATCATAAATAACCTTTTGAACATGTCAAAAACATAATTACTGGGACCTGATCATAACCCACACCCATGGTGTGGTATGGACCAACATGTGCCCAGAGACCCTCTTGACTAACAGCGCCATTCCCCATTGGCCAATACTCTGATTTTAAAGACTGAATGCTCCAATCATACTTCAGCAAGAGCCAGAGGTTGCCCCCAAAGCAAGCACGACAACACATGTCCTCTATCACCTGGCCATTGTTGGCTAATTTCACTTTCTCTTCTGGGGCATCACCTCTGGGTCATTCTGATTTTCAAAATAAAAGTCACACCAAAAAAACAGAAAAAAATTACCAAAGCAACAAGACAAAACCTAAAAAAAATATTTTTTCCCTTAAAAAAATAAAAAATATTCAGGACTATCAGCTTTATATAAAACACCAGCAAGCAAAAAAAAGAAGTTAGGAATACTGAGGTAACAATACCCTGAGGTAGGTTTTTATTTTTAATTTCATTTGATCTAATCTTTTCTAGTAACGGTGAGAGCGCCCCATGCTTCTACCCCTCTTTCATTAGGTGGGGTCTGGAAGCGTCACCGGCAGGCCTTCAGCGGAGGGGGGAGAGAGAGAGGAAGCCATTCCCCACTAACTGTTATTACCTTTCCATCTAGAGGCAAGGACTGTGGATCAACCCACCTGACCCATGTAGTCTTGGTCCTCAAAGACCAATCCTGCTTGGTATCAAATTATGGATTTAGTTGGATTTAGTTTTTGACGTTTTCGTAGATCCAATAAAACGAAATCCAGAACACACAGGGGGTTCCAAAGAACCGGTTTGGGTCTAAATTGGGTCTGAGCATGAAAAGGCAATGAGCAAAATCAAATAAGACCTCTTGTCTGTCAGTCATTGCAGGACTGCTACATATCTGGCTCAACTGTCCACAGTATTTCTCCTTGCCCTCAATTCATTCTCCCGAGGGACCGGGTTAACTCACATATCATATATATATAATATATATAAAATATGCCATTTAGGCGTGGGCCGCTCGCCAGCGAGCATGGCTAGCTAGTTTACGGTCGTTCTCGTCCGCGTCTCGGAGCTAAGCCTCTGCAATAGAACTGCAGGACTAGCTGCGGCCTCCACGCACTTACTGAACTCTCACTGCTCCAACCACCAGACTCCTATCGGGACCTCAGGAACAAACAGTGCCTCGGAAACGAGGCAGACCTGAGTCTTGAGGCGACCCCAAAAGGCAAGGCGATCGAGCGCAGCATTTCATTACATTTCATGAAGATTATATTTACAACCTCATATTTTCTTTTTTTTCTTCGTAGTTTTCTATGAAGGAGTCAAAGAGCAATGTTAACAACTGCGGCCCCTCTGCTGAACTTTCATTGGCTGACGAAGGGTCACCTGATCCATGACCCTGCCCCCACCGCAATGGCTTCCCCACCCCATCTCCCGGCTCCCGATCACTGCATTCTATTAATAATACCTCTGAATAAACATTTCTATACATATATCTTTATCTTTTAAAAAAAACCACCCTTAAAATATAGGACTGGCTGGAGATGGTTAAGAGTTCAGTGTGGGTTTAGTATAAAGTAGGCTGGCCCATCCAAGTGTGATCAGGGAGAGTAGTCACTCTCCATATGAGGAGAAACAAATGCCCCCCATTGGTGTGAGAGAGAGACCCTCTCTGAAACACACAAGGAGGCCTCTACCTGCCACCTCCTCTTAACAACCCACCATTCCCAGTCAGTCGCTCTGGCCTGGCATCTGGTGTCTGTTTTCTCTACGTTTATTTTTCCTCTCTTTTTTTCCTCTCTAAACTTTGTCCTCTCTCAGGCGTTTCCTCTCTCTGACTCAGTTTGACTCGCATCTCTCCCTGTCTATCGCTGGGTCCGTGTGTCGCTCTCTTTTATCCGTCCGTTCATCTATCCTCCGTCCGTTTTTCTGTCTGTCCGTCCGGTAAGGTCCCTCTGCCGCGTCACTTTCTCTGGGGCCGGGGCTCCTGTGCCAGTCCCTGGGAGGACCCCATCTCAGATAGGGCCTGTGGGTGTGGCCCCTGGCGCTCCCCCTGGCGCTCCCCCATACCTCCCTTCTGCTGCTGCCTGACCTGCGTAAGAATGTCCCTGATCTTCCTTTGGGCCAACTGCAGGAGGAACAACAACATATGAGTGAGCAAGTGAAGAGACTGAAGAGTACTGGATAAACTGTTGATGGAGATGATGAGGAGAGGTTGGGGCCTCTTCAAATCTCGGTAGGTTCTATAGCCAACTTCTATAGGCAGCTTATGAAAGAGAGTGAGGACTAGGAGATCCTCACCTGGCTTGCGTAGAAGTGGCCGATGATCTTGACAATAACCTGGTCATTCTCGTCTGGGGTCTGTTCGCGAGGGACCACCACCTCAGCTGCAGTGAGGTTCTGTAGCTCATTCACCTGAGGAATAAGAAGGTTTTGTTAGTGATTTGCACTTAGATAAAACAAACATGACTGTTTGTAGTGATTAGTGGTCCTATGCTCAGTTATTCTAGCTCAGAAGAGGATCGCCACAAGGAAATAGAGGAACAGAATTGATTGTAATACAGGGTACAAGCTATGCCAAAAAGACAACGTGACGCAACCTGAACAGGACCCAGAGAAGACCCTCTACACTCACCGTTTTTCCGCCTTTTCCGATGACTCGGCCGGCAGCGGCAGCAGCTACCTTGATGTGCGTCTCCAGCTTCACTTCCTCCTTCGGCCCAAAGAAGTTTTCCTCCTTCAGTTTGCCATAAATCCTGCCCTGAGCCTGAGGTGGCGACAAAGAATCAGTCAGTTTGACATCGAAAAGTAACTACACCTCTGGCTTGACATGTGACTTGAACAGGGATATGGAGGGAAAAAGAGAGTAGGAAGGAGAGGAAGAGGGTAAGACTAAAAGTAGGGAAATACAGGGTGGAGGAGAAGAAACGGATGGAGGAAGAGAAGGAAGGACAGGCAAGCAGAGACCACACACAAAGAAAGATGCAAACCCCAAGAAGAGGGCTCCCAGTTTTGAACACTGATATGAACACTATGACAAACAGAGGCTGAAAAAGAGATGTCCGATCATGCTCCCATTCTACTGTACCTTGAACTGGGCCTCAGGTGGGCCGGTTACGATGACCATTCGCATCTTGGAGTCTGGAGCCTCAGCTGGGGCAATCTGGAGGGGAAAAGATATGAAGGTCGACTTAAACCACATAGATAGAGGTCTGGAAGGGATTAGGGAGATGTAGCACATGGGGATGTGTGAAACTTACTCCTCAGCCTGAAGTGTCCCCACTTGTGCCAGCGATTAGCTAGCTTTTCACGTGGCGCCGACTGGTAAGACGCCTCAGAAGGGCGATCATGTGTGCTAGCAAGGCAGAGGTCCCGAGATTGAGCCAGGTATGGGCCGAATCAGAAGGAAGTGGTACTCGCTAAACAAGCAGCGTGATGTCCTTTACAGTGGTGCCATGACCCGGATCTACAGTTGCGCTCAGCTCAACGCTGGGGTCGCTGTTGAGTAAGTTTGAGGGGTGAATGTAGCACATGGGGATGTGTGAAACTTACTCCTCAGCCTGAAGTGTCCCCACTTGCAACAGTGAATAGCAAGCTTTTCGCGTGGCGCCGACTGGTAAGATGCTTCAGGAGGGCGGTCACGTGTGCTAGCAAGGCAGAGGTTCCGAGTTCGAGTCAGGTATGGGAGGAAGTGGTACTCGCTAAGCAAGCAGAGTGACGTCCTTTACAGAGACATGATAAGTACAAGTATAGGTGTCTCAAAAAGTCATCGTTTTTTTCTAATCAGTTTCAGAGCGGTGATGAAATGCACTATTTACTTTAGCTTGGTGCATGATCTTTCCTCATTGACCAATTTCCTTGTTTGAGTGAATGTCTGTGTTTACTAGTAAATCTCTCACCTTGATTGATGCTCCAGCGTAGCGGCTCAGCTGTTTTATATGCTGTCCCTTCTTGCCGATGATAGCTCCTACCGCCTGGGCCGGGATGTACACATGGACTGTCTCCTGCTCAGGGGCCTGTAGGGTGACATGAAACAGTTACAACTATATCACAACATGACCACAGCCCAACCAAGATGTAACCCACTGATCTAGAGGTTATTACCACACCACAACCCAACCCTACCACAGACAGAGGTCATGTTTGTGAGAGCTAGCATCAGCGTTTGTAAACACAGCTAACTAAACTAAAGCTCAATGACTGCAACCCAACTAGCTTCGATAGACGCCTGTGCACTTACCCCAAAAGAGCCGTAGGGGGCTCCGGATGCAGAGTTGCCTGGTGGGGGAAGGGGCATGGAACCGGAAGGGGGGAAAAGTCCAAGCGCTCCCAGGTTCAGTCCGGGAATCAGATGAGTCTGTTGCTGGAGACAAGAAGCAGGTAAGTGCCAAAGGAACTGATCTGAGAGTGCTTGATAGTTTGAGTGCACGTGACAATGACTGTATGTGCGTTTCTCTCTATTAAAGTCAACAAATACAGGTGGCAACCTAAAGTGCCAGGGGCAGGGGAAAGATCTATGTGAGAGACCATTGTGTTTTGAAGAGAATTGAAGGCCAGTAACCTTATTGAGCATTGACTCACATTCATGGCGGCCATGTCATTGTCATAGGCCTCACGCACTTTCTTCATGATCTCTGTCTCGGCCAGACAACAGGCCTCGATGGGTCCCTTCACTGTGATGGTCCTCTCTGGGTTGTACACGGTCAGGTCCTGCAGTCTGCAGACAGGAGCGGAGGGAAGGAAGAGACAGGGTGGGAGAGGTGAAAGAGGAGGAGGAGAGGAAAGAGGGAGAGGTCAGGTGGAAAAGGAGGAAGATAAGAAACAGGAAGAGCGGGTAGAATAAGAAAGAAGATGAAAGAAGAAACAGAAAGAAAGAAGAAGGGGAGAGGAGAAAAAGGGAGAAAAAGGAACGTTGTTAATCAACCATAGTTGATCATTGGCGACTACAATAATGAACAAACAACTCAGTACATTTCAACAGTCTCAGTCATTGGATATAGTCATAGGTTTCCATCACATGGTGCATGATCTTTCCTAATTGACCATGGCAACTCTGCGGAAACATACCCAGGGACCTGTGTGTTTCATGATGTGTGTAGATGTGTGTGTGTGTATGTATGTTTTTAGATGTGAGTGACTAACGGGGAGATGGTGATCTTGGTGTCGGTGTCCTGCTCCACTTTCTTCAGGTTGCGCCCCTCCTTGCCGATCAGTCGGCCTACAAAGTTATTGTGAGCCAGGATCTTCAGGGGTACTTCCTCAGCACTGAGAGGATGAGGAGAACACAGTATGAGATTAAACACAGAATAAAATAAAATATACAGTTTCCTAACTGCATGCATAAACATCCAGCCTTTGCAGAATTGGAGATACCGTTTTTCAATGGGAAATGTTACAAAATAGCCGGAGGGTCACTTTAAAGTTTTCACACTGTGCAGGTTTGACAGCTGCTTCATGGACACTGCACTCACGTCTTGGTGTCCTTAGCCTCCTGTTGCATGATGTCCAGGATCATACGGCAGGCAGAGGAGCAGCCCTCAGGGGTGGAGTGGATGCTGATTGGCTTCTCAGCTGCGCCGGCATTCTCTTTGCGATGGACGTCGATTCTAGAAACAGGGACGGAGAACGCAGGAAAGTCCATTTGGCCATACAGTATGGTGTCCACAAACAGGTGGACAGGGCGGAGACAGCAATTTCCACCACTTTTGGTTTGTTTGAATTCAATCGAAAGCCCTTTGGGTTGTGCAATGCTCCCAGTACATTTTCATATTCACTTTCAAAGCCTTAACAAAGATGGGATGTAAAGCCTTATATCAGTAATGGCTTTGCTCTGTCTATTCTAGCAACATGTTCTCTTTTAGAGGCCATATCGGTGACTTGCACTCACTTGATCTGGTTCTCTGGTACTCATCTGTTACCTATATTGGTCAACTCATATTGGTACTCACTTGCTCTGGGTTTGTTTGGTGATGTTGCGGATGGTGGCACCCTCCTTGCCGATGATGGCCCCCACGTATTGGGTGGGCACCAGGAGTCGGAGGGGGATGTCAGCGTGGTGGTGTTTTGAGGGCATGCCCGAGCCTGGGGAACCGCCACGTGGGCCGCGGGGTCCGTAACCGGGGCGACGACTGTTGTCTGGGCCGCGTTGGGAGTCGACATCGGACGTCTCATCTGGGATGTAGGAGACGCGCAAGGAGTTGTTCTCAAACTCATAGCCGTTCAGCTTCTGGATAGCCCTGGGAGAAAGAGGTGGATGTTAGATTTCACATTTAATCATACATCGACAATATCAGCAAAACTAGAAATTGTCATTTATGAAATGGTCATTTATAAGGATGACAAAAGAGAAAGAAAGAGTTCCCGTGGCTTGTGTCTTTCACCCATGAGGTTTTCTGAAAACCTTTCTATAATGATGAGTTTTATCTGTTTTTACTAAAATAAAATAGAACCTGGACTTTGAAAGCCAACAGTCTCAAAACAATGCTTTTCTTAAGTGAAATATTCTACTTTGGCCATATTCATCGGCTGCATGTGGTGTAGTTCATCTTTAATTTATTTGATAATTTTTCATGTTGCAGCACAATCCCCAACTGCAGTCCTACTATCATACCACTAGAGGTCACTATATTTACAAAAGTATGTGGACACCCCTTCAAATTAGTGGATTTCAGCCACACCCGTTGCTGACAGGTGTATAAAATCTAGCACACCGCCATGCAATCTCCATAGACAAACATTGGCAGTAGAATGGCCTTACTGAAGAGCTCAGTGACTTTCAACGTGGCACCGTCATAGGATGGCACCTTTCCAACAAGTCAGTTCATCAAATTTCCACCCTACTAGAGCTGCCCCGGTAAACTGTAAGTGCTGTTATTGTGAAGTGGAAACGTCTAGAAGCAACAATGGCTCAGCCGCGAAGTAGTAGGTTACACAAGCTCACAGAACGGGACCGCCGAGTGCTGAAGTGCGTAAAAATCGTCTGTCCTCGGTTGCAACACTCACTACTGAGTTCCAAACTGCCTCTGGAAGCAACGTCGGGAGCTTCATGAAATGAGTTTCCATGGCCGAGCAGCCGCACACAAGCCTAAGATCACCATGTGCAATGCCAAGCATCGGCTGGAGTGGTGTAAAGCTCGCCGCCATTGGACTCTGGAGCAGTGGAAACGCATTCTCTGGAGTGATGAATCACGCTTCACCATCTGGCAGTACGACGGATGTATCTGTGTTTGGCAGATGCCAGGAGAATGCTACCAGCCCCAATGCATAGAGCAAACTGTAAAGTTTGGTGGAGGAGGAATGGTCTGGGGTTGTTTTTCATGGTTCCAGCTCCTTAGTTCCAATGAAGGGAAATCTTAACGCTACAGCATACAATGACATTCTAGACGATTCTGTGCTTTCGACTTTGTGGCAACAGTTTGGGGAAGGCCCCCGTGCACAAACTGAGGTCCATACAAAAATGTTGTCGAGATCGTGAGGAATAACTTTACTGGCCTGCACAGAGCCCTGACCTCAACCCAATCGAACACCTTTGGGATGAATTGGAACGCCGACTGCGAGCCAGGCCTAATCGCCATACATCAGTGCCCAACCTCACTAATGCTCTTGTGGCTGAATGGAAGCAAATGCCCGCAGCAATGTTCCAACATCTAGTGGAAAGCCTTACCGGAAGAGTGGAGGCTGTTATAGAAGCAAAAGGGGGACCAACTCCATATTAATGCCCATGATTTTGGAATGAGATGTTCAACGAGCAGGTGTCCACATACTTTTGGTAATGTAGTGTTTCATGCATCAACATGTGGAGTTTGACAAAGATTCAAACAGCTGGGAGTCTTATCATGTATTACAGTGTTAAATATTGAGAAGAATTAGGGCATAATTTAGCACTATACACTTCATTCATATGGTCCTCTGTAGCACAGTTGGTAGAGCATGGTGCTTGCAATTCCCAAATAGTGTGTTTGATTCCTGGGACCACCCATATGTAAAATGTATGCACTCATGACTGTAAGTCCCTTTGGATAAATGCGTCTGCTAAATGGCATATATTATATGGACACAAAGACATGCAGATAAGCAAGGTGTGAAAGGATATGGAGTGGGTACATTTGGAAGTAGAGATATAGAAAAGATCAGGCACTATGGGAGACTTACTGTCTGGCATGTTCCCGAGTTCCATATGTGACGTTGACAACCGCAGTCTCACTGTCTGTGTTCACTAAGAAAAGGAGCCAGAGTGAGAGAGAGATGCAAAGAGAAGTTAGGAGAGAGGGGAGGAGAGAGATGAGAGAGATGCAAGGAGAGAGAGAGAGAGAGAGAGAGAGAGAGAGAGCGAGAGAGAGAGAGAGAGAGAGAGAGAGAAAGAGAGAGAGAGAGAGAGAGAGAGAGAGAGAGAGAGAGAGAGAGAGAGAGAGAGAGAGAGAGAAATGCGAGGAGAGAGAGGAGGGGAGATTGCATAAGTCAGAGGCTATAAACCCACCTCCTTGATTGACCTATGACAGAGCATGGGCTATCCCATTGATCAAATCTGATTCGCTGACTGAGAAGCAGCGATTTACCACTGACATAAAGACTTCCCTCTTGCAGGGTTTCCGGTAGACTGGTATACTCAATCTATTTCTTAATGAGCTGTATTCACGAAGGGAGGTGCTTGGACTACAGAAGGAATCTCAGATCTCTGATCAGGCCCCGTATTCATAAAGCGCCTCAGATTAGGAGTGATGATCTAGAATCAGTTTAGCCTTTTAGATCTTAATGATTAAGATTACCTGGACAGGTAGGACCTGATCCTAGATCAGCACTCCTACTATGAGACGCTTTATGAATATGTTTTTGTTTTGTAGCACAGATGGATAGGGAAAGCAGATCCGGTCAGGTCTCAGGGATAGAAAGCATTGTGCGACGTGCAAAAAATACTGTGAATCTCCTTGCATTATTATCTCGCCCAGTGAGTGTGTAAAGGAAGCCTTATCATCGGATTTGCAGATGAGATGTTCAGAGCGAAGTCTGACTGGTTATGAATAGAATAGAATAACTTTATCTTACCTTGTTCGCAGTTCTCAACGGTTCCATATTGGGCCAGCAGACCATCCAGCACCTAGGGAGGGGAGAACACAATTTCATTATTGTTGTGTTTCAACATTTGCACCTGAACTGGGTTTCTCCAATGTTCTCCTATTTGTCTCCCTTGCTACAACACTTTAAAGCAGTTCCAGTCCTCAAGGGCCAAAGTGTCTGCATCATTTCAACCTGCCACTTAATCGATTAGTGTGACTGATTGGAAAGACAGCCTTCCCTGGTCTAAATCAGACACTGATGTCCTGTGTAGCTCAGCTGGTAGAGCATGGTGCTTACATTGCCAGGATAGTGGGTTTGATTCCCAGGACCACCCATACGTATAATTTATGCAGCCACTACTGTATGTCGCTTGGATAAAAGCGTCTGTTAAATGGCATATGTGGCCATCCAGAAGCTTGGTTTGACTGCCTTGGTGTAATGAGTTAGAAGTGTCTATAACAAGGTTTCTAATTCTGACGTTGGGCCAATTTTTTTACTCCTTGCTGACTGTGGCTCATGTTCAGGGCTATAATGTGGGTGGAGAAACGTCACCCTCGTGTGGCTAGCTAGGGAAGGACATGCTGCACTGCACGCAAGCGCTGGAAGGATGGAGTGGAGAGAGAGAGAGAGAGAGAGAGAGAGAGAGAGAGAGAGAGAGAAACTTCTGAGTGTAATGTTTACTGTTCATATTTATTGTTTATTTCACTTTTGTTTACTATCTACTTCACTTGCTTTGGCAATGTTAACACACGTTTCCCATGCCAATAAAGCCCTTAAATTGAATTGAAATTGAATTGAATTGAATTGAATTGAATTGAATTGAATTGAGAGAGAGAGAGAGAGAGAGAGAGAGAGAGAGAGAGAGAGAGAGAGAGAGAGAGAGCCCCGCCTTAGCAGAGCCATGTGACCTGTCTTCGTCCAGCTGTCAGTGGCAGCGTGCGCTGCTCAACGCCCACGCCAGCACACACTCACACAGACGTACACACACACACACACACACACACAATAAAGACACAAATGCACATATGAACACACATGCTCATGCCCGCAGCCGCAGTCAATCTAAATGCCTTTTACCCCCCTAACTCACTCTCATCTCAGATGACTACACAGAACATCCTGTTCTGAGCATATTTTTTTCTGATTACTTACCTTTGTTGTAGCAGGGACTAACCTATGCTTTTCCATATAAAAGTAACACTAACTGGTTGAGAGACGCTAACGGACCCATTGTTACATTTTGATATGGTGAAACTATGTTATGGTCAATCCAGGGGCACTCACCTCCCACTGCAGGTGTGGAGGAATGTTTCTGATCTGGAGTTTCCGGGTCCTAAGAGAGAGTGAAAGGGAGAAAGAGAGAGAGAGAAATACTATTAGAAAATATTCAACTCAAACATGGCTGTAAAACATTTACATATTTCATGCAGTCAAATGGATTTGGTCAAACCATTGCCTGGTGTGTGGTTAGACTACAGTGGGGAGAACAAGTATTTGATACACTGCCAATTTTGCAGGTTTTCCTACTTACAAAGCATGTAGAGGTCTGTAATTTTTATCATAGGTACACTTCAACTGTGAGAGACGGAATCTAAAACAAAAATCCAGAAAATCACATTGTATGATTTTTAAGTAATTTATTTTCATTTTATTGCATGACATAAGTATTTGATCACCTACCAACCAGTAAGAATTCCGGCTCTCACAGACCTGTTAGTTTTTCTTTAAGAAGCCCTCCTGTTCTCCACTCATTACCTGTATTAACTGCACCTGTTTGAACTCGTTACCTGTATAAAAGACACCTGTCCACACACTCAATCAAACAGACTCCAACCTCTCCACAATGGCCAAGACCAGAGAGCTGTGTAAGGACATCAGGGATAAAATTGTAGACCTGCACAAGGCTGGGATGGGCTACAGGACAATAGGCAAGCAGCTTGATGAGAAGGCAACAACTGTTGGCGCAATTATTAGAAAATTTAAGAAATTCAAGATGACGTTCAATCACCCTCGGTCTGGGGCTCCATGCAAGATCTCACCTTGTGGGGCATCAATGATCATGAGGAAAGTGAGGGATCAGCCCAGAACTACATGGCAGGACCTGGTCAATGACCTGAAGAGAGCTGGGACCACAGTCTCAAAGAAAACCATTAGTAACACACCACGCCGTCATGGATTAAAATCCTGCAGCGCACGCAAGGTCCCCCTGCTCAAGCCAGTGCATGTCCATGCCCGTCTGAAGTTTGCCAATAACCATCTGGATGATCCAGAGGAGGAATGGTAGTCTCCTGAGTGGCGCAGTGGTCTAAGGCACTGCATTGCAGTGCTAGCTGTGCCACTAGAGATCCTGGTTCGAATCCAGGCTCTGTCGTAGCCGGCCACGACCGGGAGACCCATGGGGCGGCGCACAATTGGCCCAGCGTCGTCCAGGGTAGGGGAGGGAATGGCCGGCAGGGATGTAGAGCATGACCTTTGCAACGCCAGGGTTGTGGGTTCGATTCCCACGGGGCCAGTATGAAAAATTAAAAAGATAATGTAAGTCGCTCTGGATAAGAGCGTCTGCTAAATGACTAAAATGTAAATGAATGGAAGAAGGTAATGTGGTCTGATGAGACAAAAATATAGCTTTTTGGTCTAAACTCCACTCGCCGTGTTTGGAGGAAGAAGAAGGCTGAGTACAACCTCAACAACACCATCCCAACCGTGAAGCATGGAGGTGGAAACATCATTCTTTGGGGATGCTTTTCTGCAAAGGGGACAGGACGACTGCACCGTATTGAGGGGAGGATGGATGGGGCCATGTATCGCGAAATCTTGGCCAACAACCTCCTTCCCTCAGTAAGAGCATTGAAGATGGGTCGTGGCTGGGTCTTCCAGCATGACAATGACCCGAAACACACAGCCAGGGCAACTAAGGAGTGGCTCCGTAAAAAGCATCTCAAGGTCCTGGAGTGGCCTAGCCAGTCTCCAGACCTGAACCCAATAGAAAATCTTTGGAGGGAGCTGAAAGTCCGTATTGCCCAGCGACAACCCCGAAACCTGAAGGATCTGGAGGTCTGTATGGAGGAGTGGGCCAAAATCCCTGCTGCAGTGTGTGCAAACCTGGTCAAGACCTACAGGAAACGTATGATCTCTGTAATTGCAAACAAAGGTTTCTGTACCAAATATTAAGTTCTGCTTTTCTGATGTATCAAATACTTATGTCATGCAATAAAATGCAAATTAATTACTTAAAAATCATACAATGTGATTTTCTGAATTTTTGTTTTAGATTCCGTCTCTCACAGTTGAAGTGTACCTATGATAAAAATTACAGACCTCTACATGCTTTGTAAGTAGGAAAACCTGCAAAATCGGCAGTGTATCAAATACTTGTTCTCCCCACTGTATAACGGGGTGGTTCTAATCCTGAATGCTGATTGGTTAAAACCGCATTCCAGCTGGTGTCTATTCCACAAGTTACTACAGGCTAAATCTATGAAGTTAAAATGCCTATTTACTCTGTTCCATCTGACGGCGCAATCCACTGTCTCATCAGCCGAGCCAGGCAAGTTATAAACTTGATCTCCACTATAAAAAGCATCTAGACATTATCTCACATTTCTTTTAGACTAACATTTAGTTTTCAACAGCAGAGATTTGTATAAACCTTGCTGTCTGTCTCTCTGACATTTGCAACATTGTTTCAATATTCAAATTCTTTCTCCAGCTGTCCCATAGTAATGAACGTTTCTGGAGTCGGGACGAGACAGACAGACAGGCAGGCAGCCAGTCTAAATCATGAATCAGCTGGCATCATTTTTATGGTTATAAACAAATGTCAATTGTAAAACAAAAAGAAGTCCAGCTAGTTTGCAGTCTTTCCAGGTTCAGTTTGAAGTGATTGTGTTAGCTGTGTTGTTGTCTAGCTCAACAGCAGTGTCCTGACGAATGAGCACATTTTCTATGCAAGGCGAAATCGCGCCTCATTATCTCATTGCTATGGATGTCTCCAAATAACTGTCACTAGAAAACAGCTTAACAAATGCAAATGCAGTTACTTTGCTGTTATCTGGCTGCAATTTTTGACGTGACTGTAAGATAACCATAGTTGGCTAGCTAGCAAGCAAGGGATAAGAACGTTGCCAGCCAGTACAGCAATGGAACATTTAGATACAGATCAAAAAGGCTGAACGACTGTGTCACGTCTCTAGCAACCGAACCGCCGGCTTGCTTGGGTAGCAACCCTAGATTTGTGTCAGGACTATATCTTGTGGAAGGATGAAATTGTATGAATAAATAAATCAAAATAACGTTTTTTAATGAAAATATGTAAATCATTATTTGAATATGTTGGTAACCCTTTGTAAAAAAGTGATAATGCCCTCAAAGCCGGTGTTTGGACGATATATTAGCACGGTTTGCCGGCCCTCAACGAATATATCCTCCAAACACCGGCTTCTCTGGCATTATCACTTAATTAACCATCCAATTCGGAAACGTTTTTACTGTAAACCTACATGAAAATTGACCAAACTGGGAGCAAAACATTTTTTTTTTTTTTTGGGGGGGGGGGGGGGGTCATTCTTTATTTTATTGAATCAGCAGCATGATTGAGTTCTCTGGTTCGCAGTTCAGCATCATAAAATACCAGTGTATCTCACAGTTTGCCTGCAGTGACAGTGAGAGGAAAGAGCATCGGTGTCACCACTCCATATATTTTATACTAGTTCACAAGTACAATTCCAATACTTTGAGCCTCTCAACTGAGAAGTCTGTGACCATAGAAAAACGATGAGCTCCATTGTACTGACCGCCAATGCACCATTGAAAGTTATGACAAGCTGTCAAGACAGATAGACATTTTTAATATTTTAGTCATTTAGCGAATGCTCTTATCCAGAGCGACTTACAGTTAGTGAGTGCATACATTTTTCATACTGACAGACACACACACACACACACACGGCTGGCAGTCTTGTGTTTCAGGTCTTAACATCCTGGTTCAGTACACATGAACGATGCTGAAAGTGTGTGTGTGTGTGTGTGTCTCAGCTCATCAGCATCTGCCAGCTTGCATATCCCGCTGCCTGTTGCTGGCCTGGACTCAGAGAGAGCGAGAGAGAGAGAGCTCACAGACATTGCTCCTGCATTTTTCACAAAAAATCTAGATTTAGAGTTAGATAAAGTTGGATTTTTTGGCAGGGACATATACAGGATGCTACCCTCCACAACATAACCTTCATTCCAAACCAAAACTCCAAACCTACAACCTGATTTTGGACGGAATTACCTGGAATTACCTGGAAGGCTTTCTACTACCGAGGATTACTATTCCCAAACTATACAGCAAATGCTCTGGCAAACAAACAGAAACCTGAAAACACCATCCAACCTGGAACTGAGTGAGTAATGTTTAGTATGAAGCTATTTTTTACTTTCAAAAACCAAGAAGAAAAATACATTACAATGATATATTTTAATTTATAAGGACTGAATGCTAAGGCTACCAAGCTTGCTAGTACAAAGATATACAATTTCAATTAGCACTGACGTGTGAAGTGAGAGGTGTCAAAGCCCTTGAGCCCAACAATGGCAGGAGAGTCGCACAGTCTACCCCAAACAAATGGAGAGGCCATAGAAGCACCCCCCCCCCCCCCCCCCCCCCCCCCCCCCCCCCCCCCCCGCTGTTCAGAGGTCATTAAAATACAGTACCCTCTGAATGTAAAGAACGATAAGACACGAAAAGAGTACAAAATAAAACTCCTTATGGGAATCAGTAGACACCTTTTGCTGATTTATATAAAAATGGGAACATAAGCAACCTTATCTTCCACACAGACCATCCCCTGGCATGGCACAGTGCGTGCTATACTAGCACACTACCCCTCTGTTAAGAGGGGGGGTGTTAGCGATGGGTGGAAACTCAGGATACTGGACAACGAGGACTCTGAGTTGTCTAATATAAATCTCTATAAATCTGGAACAGTTTTGGTTCAAGGCAACACCAAACAGTTCCAGCTGGACTTTCACCTAATCAAAGAAATAGCTCAGCAGGAGAAGCTCTCCCTTGAGAAACATACCCCCACCCCGAGCGGGTCAGACCAGACCTCTTCATTAAATAACCCCACAGAGCAACCCCAAGCGGAAAGTCAACTTCCCAGAACAGAGTACTACTCGCTCATTGAAATGAAGGATACATTCACCCAGCTGGAGGTAAGGCAGGTGGAGCTGGAACAGCAGGTGAACACACTCCAGTCAGCACAGACCCAGACAACAGTCCAGCACAACAACACCCCCTTAACTAGACCTGGAGAGTTGGAGGTAGAGAGAGACATGTCTGCACTCTGGACTGTGATGAGACAACATCAACAGGAGAAAGAGCAGGAGCAGGAGAAGAACAGAGCACTAGAGGAGAGGATCAGAGTGCTGGAGGAAAAGGTGAGAACGATGACGGGTGACATAGAACAACCCATTAGAGAGCTGGCCACCCCCGCAGAGAAGCCAGCAGAACAGCCCACCTCAGATCCTGGCCAAAGTCACGACACCGTAGCAGAACATGACACCCTAGACCCTGACCATAGCCTTGACATCACAGCCAGACAAACAAATGAAGAACCCCAAGCCCTGGGGACCCCAACCCCTCTGAGCAACCCCCCTGTCAGACACCATGATAGCCCTCATGACGACCCTCCCACACCCACTGAGGACATACACAAGCCACAGATTGTACTCCTTATGGACTCAAATGGGAAATACATACAAGAAAATAAACTTTTTCCAAAACACACAGTGTCTAAACTCTGGTGTCCAAACACCCAGTAAGCCCTAGACCTTCTGCCTGAAGACCGACTAGGATCACCCAGCCACATAATAATACACACAGGCACAAACGACCTGAGAACACAGCAGGAAAGGGTGGCCACAGCACTCAAGGGAGTGATAGAAAAAGCTTCTTCTACTTTCTCCAACGCACAAGTGGTTATCTCAACCCTACTACCATGAAAAGACTTCCACCCTGCTACCATACAGCGGGGTAATGCAAGTATTTCCCGTGACTGTGCATCAAAACCAAATGTCTCCCTGGCCCACCACTCCACCCTTTATGACCAGGTCCACCTATACAAGGCACCAGTTCCCACCTTTGCCCGGACCCTAAAGGATATCGCCCTCAACCGCAGACCCAACACCTCACACAGGAGCAACAGGTCAACAGACACCCCGTCCAGACCAGCGAGACACTCTCCCAGACCTGTGGGACCCCCCCCAGGACCTACACATAGAGGACCCCCGCAGAGAGGACCTACATCCAGACCACAGCACCATCAGCCACATCTACACCCCCACCCCCACCCCCACCAATTATCACCCCCCCAAGTCAACCATGCCCACACCCCATTTAGGCCCCCTCAGATCAGACCTATGCCCCTCCTACCCACCCCAAGCCCCCCACTCCCACAAAGAGGGCCTCAACATGAAAGTCACACATACGCCCAGGCCGTGAGCAGGCAAACAGGCCCAACACCCACTCTTACACTAGCCCAAGCCAATGGCATGTACCAAATGCTCAGCAGGCTCTGCTCACAATTACTGGCCTGAGGCCAAACCACACAACCAACAACATTAGACACTTTATGGAACACAAAGCCTTCACTATTTCATCCTGGAATATCCAAGGCCTGAGGTCATCTGCCTTTGGCCTAAAGAGCAGGAATCTGGATTTAATAATATAATAATAATATGCCATTTAGCAGACGCTTTTATCCAAAGCGACTTAATAGTCATGTGTGCATACAAAGAAATCAGAAATACAGACATTGTCATCCTACAAGAAACATGTTATAGAGGAGATGGACCCACTGGTTGCCCTCTAGGTTACAGAGAGCTGGTAGTCCCATCCACCAAACTACCAGGTGTGAAACAGGGAAGGGACTCAGGGGGTATCCCCATACTTTAATGAAGACAGCTTCTCCATCCTGGAGGGGGGAATCAATCATTTCCAGACCTAGGGACATGTACTAGTCTGTGGCGACCTAAATGCCAGAACTGGACAAGAACCTGACATCCTCAGCACACAGGGGGACAAACACCTACCTGGAGGTGACAGCATTCCCTCCCCCATATGCCCCCCTAGGCACAACTACGACAACATAACCAACAAAAACGGGTCACAACTCCTGCAGCTCTGTCGCACAATGGGTATGTACATAGTCAATGGTAGGCTTCGAGGGGACTCCTATGGTAGGTACACCTATAGCTCATCTCCTGGCAGTAGTACTGTAGACTACTTTATCACTGACCTCAACCCAGAGTCTCTCAGAGCGTTCACAGTCAGCCCACTGACACCCCTATCAGACCACAGCAAAATCACAGTCTACTTGAACAGAGCAATACTCAATCATGAGGCATCAAAGCCAAAGGAACTGAATAATATTAAGAAATGCTATAGATGGAAGGAAAGTAGTGTCGAAACCTACCAGAAAACTACAAATTCAATCCATTCTAGACAACTTCATGGACAAAACGTTCCACTGTAATAGTGAAGGTGTAAACTTGGCAGTAGAAAACCTAAACAGTATATTTGACCTCTCAGCTTCCCTATCAAATCAAAAAATCTCTAACAGAAAAACAAAGAAAAGTAATAACAGTGATAAATGGTTTGATGAAGAATGCAAAAACCTAAGAAAGAAATTGAGAAACCTATCCAACCAAAAGAGACCCAGAAAACCTGAGCCTACGCCTTCACTATGGTGAATCACTAAAACAATACAGAAATACACTACGGAAAAAGAAGGAACAGCATGTCAGAAATCAGCTCAATGTAATTGAAGAATCCATAGACTCTAAACACTTCTGGGAAAATTGGAAAACACTAAACAAACAACAACACGAAGAGCTACAGTATCTATCCAAAACGGAGATGTATGGGTAAACCACTTCTCCAATATTTTTGGCCCTATAACAGAGAACAAATGCAAATCTTAGAATCAACTATTAAAGACTACCAGAACCTACTGGATTCTCCAATTACATTGAATGAACTACAGGACAAAATACAAACCTTCCAACCCCAAAAGGCCTGTGGTGTTGATGGTATCCTCAATGAAATGATAAAATATACAGACCACAAATTCCAATTAGCTATACTTAAACTCTTTAACATCATCCTTAGCTCTGGCATCTTCCCCAATATTTGGAACCAAGGACTGATCACCCCAATCCACAAAAGTGGAGACAAATTTGACCCCAATAACTACTGTGGGATATGCGTCAACAGCAACCTTGGGAAAATCCTCTGCATTATCATTAACAGCAGACTAGTTAATTTCCTCAGTGAAAACAATGTCCTGAGCAAATGTCAAATTGGCTTTTTACCAAATTACCGTACGACAGATCACGTATTCACCCTGCACACCCTAATTGACAAACAAACAAACAAACAAACAAACCAAAACAAAGGCAAAGTCTTCTCATGCTTTGTTGATTTCAAAAAAGCTTTTGACTCAATTTGGCATGAGGGTCTGCTATACAAATTGATGTAAAGTGGGGTTGGGGGAAAAACATACAACATTATAAAATCGTAAATGTAAATGTAAATAAAATCCATGTACACAAACAACAAGTGTGCGGATAAAATTGGTAAAAAAAAACACACACATTTCTTTCCACTGGGCCGTGGGGTGAGACAGGGATGCAGTTTAAGCCCCACCCTCTTCAACATATTTATCAACGAATTAGCGAGGGCACTAGAACAGTCTGCAGCACCTGGCCTCACCCTACTAGAATCTGAAGTCAAATGTCTACTGTTTGCTGATGATCTAGTGCTTCTGTCACCAACCAAGGAGGGCCTACAGCTGCACCTAGATCTTCTGCACAGATTCTGTCAGACATGGGACCTGACAGTAAATCTCAGTAAGACAAAAATAATGGTGTTCCAAAAAAGGTCCAGTTGCCAGGACCACAAATACAAATTCCATCTAGACACCGTTGCCCTAGAGCACACCATTTTGTTTATATACCTCGGCCTAAACATCAGCACCACAGGTAACTTCCACAAAGCTGTGAACGATCTGAGAGACAAGGCAAGAAGGGCCTTCCTTCTATGCCATCAAAAGGAACATCAAATTTGACATACCAATTAGGATCTGGCTAAAAATACTTGAATCAGTTATAGAACCCATTGCCCTTTATGGTTGTGAGGTCTGGGGTCCGCTCACCAACCAAGAATTCACAAAATGTGACAAACACCAAATTGAGACTGCATGCAGAATTCTGCAAAAATATCCTCTGTGTACAACGAAAAACACCTAATGCATGCAGAGCAGAATTAGGCCAATAGCCGCTAATTATCAAAATCCAGAAAAGAGCTGTTAAATTCTATAACCACTTAAAAGGAAGCGATTCCCAAACCTTCCATAACAAAGCCATCACCTACAGAGAGATGAACTTGGAGAAGAGTCCCCTAAGTAAGCTGGTCCTGGGGCTCTGTTCACAAACACAAACAGACCCCACAGAGCCCCAGGACAACAACAACACAATTAGACCCAACCAAATCATGAGAAAACTAAAAGAGAATTACTTGACACATTGGAAAGAACAAACAAAAAAACAGAGCAAACTTTAATGCTATTTGGCTCTAAACAGAGAATACACAGTGGCAGAATACCTGACCATTGTGACTGACCCAAACTTAAGGAAAGCTTTGACTATGTACAGACTCAGTGAGCATAGCCTTGCTATTGAGAAAGGCCGCCGTAGGCAGACCTGGCTCTCAAGAGAAGACAGGAAAACTGAGCTGCACTTCCTAACCTCCTGCCAAATGTATGACCATATTAGAGACACATATTTCCCTCAGATTACAGCGATCCACAAAGAATTCGAAAACAAACCCAATTTTGATAAACTCCCTTATCTACTGGGTGAAAAACCACAGTGTGCCATCACAGCTGCAAGATTTGTGACCTGTTGCCACAAGAAAAGGGCAACCAGTGAAGAACAAACACCATTGTAAATACAACCCATATTTATGTTTAAACCCATTTGTACTTTAACTATTGTTACAACACTGTATATATACATAATATGACATTTGAAATGTCTTTATTCTTTTGGAACTTCTGAGTGTAATGTTTACTGTTAATATTTATTGTTTATTTCACTTTTGTTTACTATCTACTTCACTTGCTTTGGCAATGTTAACATACATTTCCCATATTGAATTGAGAGAAGAGAGAGAGAGAGAGAGAGAGAGAGAGAGAGAGAGAGAGAGAGAGAGAGAGAGAGAGAGAGAGAGAGAGAGAGAGAGAGAGAGAGAGAGAGAGAGAGAGAGAGAGAGAGAGAGAGAAACCATGAGGGAGTAACCATGAGGGAGTATAGTAGAGGGGGAGAGCGTGTGAGGTTGGCATTAAGCGACAGAGAGAGTTGACTGCAGGGGAATGCATGCGAGAAAGGGACAGAGTGTGACAGAGTGCAAATAGGAGTGAGAGAGAAATAACTGGAGCAGGGGGAGGACAATCTCTATAACAACAACATCAAGGTTCTCCAAAATACAAGAATAAACAAACAAGCTGAATAACTTGTATATTGAACCACTCAGTACCAAAGTAGTACTCACAGATGTATTCAAAGATTTGGCCACAGAGAAGGCAAAGTGGAGGAGATCAGGGGAACATAGTGAGGAGAGAATAGAGGATAGGCAAAGGTAGCTGGTAGGTATTAGTAGCCTATCAAATCTTCCTGATTTAACCCCTTAGAATCTCTGGCTGGGAGTAGGATGACATCGCCCCTAGATGTACGGTCAGTTTTCGCATTTCCCACCAGATTTTAGAGGGTAAGCTGATGCTAGATCTGTATGCCTAAGGGCAACTGACACACAGAGCTGGGAATTGGTTGCCAGCGTCCTGATTGAAACTCTAGAGGGAGCTCTAATGATCTATGTGAGAGGTGAGGGGTTGTGTGTGTGTTGTGTGTGTGTGTAGAGGAGAGAATGGGCGCCAGGGGTCATAAGGGAGGGGCAGCTCACAACTCTGCTGGTTTGTAAAGGGTTAATATGTGGGAATCCCCTGGTGACCTCTGAACCCTAGTTTCCACACCCAGGAGAGACAAAACCCAATAAAAAATCCCTTGCCTCGCCTCTTGCGCCCTGCGCGACAAAACACATGGAAGGGCCAATCTAAGCTCATGGGCCTCAGGCAAACGGCATTCTATACATATATTACCATAAAGCAACCCAATGCAAACATGTCATGGGTTGTTTTCAAGAGCGGCAACATTCTGAAAGGTTCCAGGACATTTTGGAGATGAGGTTCCCGTTTCCTGTGCAACACTGTTAGATGGTAGTTCAGCAATATGTTGTATGTGCCGTAACAATTAAGGCACTAATTACTCTTTAGCCACATAGAACGATTCAGTCACTCGAAGGCCACCACAAAGTCTTGAAAACAAATCATTTTGGCCATTTTGGGGAAACGTGTGAAAGCCACCAAATCAACAGCCAACATCATGGCTGAGCTTCAGGCTTCAGCACCCACGGTTGGCTATTTGTGAGGGGAGCAAGTGAGGGGGATGGGTGGGCCTTTGAATTGGGGTTGAGATTTAGGCCTGGTTTGATGGGGGGCGTGCTGATCTGGGGGGTTAGGGGAGAATGTGGGATGGTGCAGTGAGCAGAACTACCAAGGCCACCAAGCTCCTGGGACTTTTCCTCCTCGGCGAAAACCCTTCTTCATCCATCAAAGTCCCTGTCCCGCAAATCAATACATCAATAGACGTAACCATCCACCCAACCCCCACATCTACATCCCCTCCACCCAACACTTAACTCACATTTGCCCCTTCATCCCCCCTCAACCATCGGCCCCACACCCACACCAACTGTGAAATTAAATGAACCCAGACAACACTGACCGCCAACTCCCAGGCATCTCATTGGCTGACGCCATGACGACAGGGGAGGGGAGGATGGATGAGCGGTGAAGAGACAATATGGTTGCACCTGTTCATCTGTTGTTGGTCTTCCCTTCAGGGGTGGTCTTCCCTTCACATGCTCCCAACCTCACATAGCAAATACTCCAAAATGAACAAACATTTACAATTCTTGAAAAACGAAGCTCAGCTGAAGCTTAATGAATGTTTATATCTGCGTTACGGACTTTGTCCTTGAGGTAGCATCTAACGTATCTAGCGTGTGTTGGTACCAACAGGACAATGGGAGAAAGAAGAGGGGCCTGGTCACTTAGAAGCCTCAAGCCCACAGCTGTGCGCTTGTGGGGTCAAAAGTGAAGGGCCTTTAGACTGATCAGGAGACTCTATTGGTCTGAAGGTGGGGGGTGAGACCATAGCATTGTCTCATAGGAGGGGCTTGAAGGAGTTAATTTACCATGTGAAAGAATAGAATGGTCAGGGAATATAGGGTGGGGTGGGAGAAGCACAGCAGGTAGGAAGAATAGAGAGAGGGAATAGAGAGAGAGCACACCATAAAGGACAGACATCCCAAACATGGTTGAACATGAGGAAGAGTGAAAGTGTGAGGAAACACGTTTGCACAGACCTGTGAAGGAGAGTGAAGGTGTGTTTGGATGTACGTAAGTGTACACATGTTGTACAGACACTGGTTGGGAAAATGAACTTGCGGGAGGTTTCGAAAGGAGCTAACTGAATGGCTTGTCATCAATTTTGGTTCCCGTGTACCACTCCTTTAAAGATCTCTCCCGCAACATTTCACTCAAGGATAGGCCTCCACGGCAGGGGTCCCCAATTACATTCAGCCTTGGGCTGATTTTTCCTTAAGTGGATGGTCGGGGGCCGGAACAAATTGACCGCAAGAATCCTAAACAGATATAGTATTTTACAAAAACGGAATAATTTCAAACCTTGATAACATTGGGATACGATCACATATGTCTATATTTATGCCTCGGAATACTTAGGAACAGATTTCCTCAATTATAATCACTTTGAACTCACTCTGGATAAGAGCGTCTGCTAAATTACTAAAATGTAAATGTAATTTCCTGGTATTTTATATCCAAGAACGAAAATTATATAGAAAAAAACAATTGCTGCGGATACTTGCTTCCATTCAGCCACAAGAGCATTAGTGATGTCGGGCACTGATGTTGGGCGATTAGGCCTAACTTGCAGTCGGCAAACCAATTAATCCCAAAGGTGTTCATGGTCGAATTGCTGCAAAGAAACCACTACTAAAGTACACCAATAAGAAGAAGAGACTTGGTTGGGCCAAGAAACACGAGCAATGGACATTAGACCGGTGGAAATCTGTCCTTTGGTCCGATGAGTCCAAATTTGAGATTTTGGGTTCCAACTACCGTGTCTTTGTGAGACGCAGAGTAGGTGAATGGTTGATCTCCGCATGTGTGGTTCCCACCGTGAAGCATGGAGGAGGAGGTGTGATGGTGTGGGGGTGCTTTGCTGGTGACACTGTCTGTGATTTATTTAGAATTCAAGGCACACTTAACCAGCATGGCTACCACAGCATTCTGCAGCGATACGCCATCCTGGTTTGCGCTTAGTGGGACTATCATTTGTTTTTCACCAGGACAATGACCCAAAACACACCTCCAGGCTGTGTAAGGGCGCAGTGGTCTAAGGCACTGCATCACAGTGCTAGCTGTGCCACTAGAGATCCTGGTTCGAGTCCAGGCTTTGTCGCAGCCGGCCGCGACCGGGAGACCCATGGGCGGCGCACAATCGGTCTAGCGTCGTCCAAGGTAGGGGAGGGTTTGGCCGGCAGGGCTGTGGGTTTGTTTCCCACGGGGGGCCAGTATGATTAAAAACACACAAAAAAACCATGTATACATTCACTAACTGTAAGTCGCTCTGGATAAGAGCATCTGCTAAATGACTAAAATGTAAAAAATTAAAAATGTGTAAGGCCTATTTTGACCAATGAGAGTGATGGAGTGCTGTATCAGATGAGATGACCTGGCCTCCACCATCACCCGACCTCAACCCAATTGAGATGGTTTGGGATGAGTGATGGAAAAGCAGCCAACAAGTACTCAGCATATGTGGGAACTCCTTCAAGACTGTTGGAAAAGCATTCCTGATGAAGCTGGTTGTGAGAATGCCAAGAGTGTGCAAAGCTGTCATCAAGGCAAAAGGTGGCTACTTTGAAGAATCTCAAATATAAAATATATTTTGATTTGTTTAACACTTTTTTGGTTACTACATGATTCCATGTGTTATTTCATAGTTTTGATGTCTTCACTATTATTCTACAATGTAGAAAATAGTAAAAATAAAGAAAAACCCTTGAATGAGTAGGTGTGTCCAAACCTTTGACTGGTACTGTATATATATATATGTTTATGTATTTTTATTTATTTTTGCTCAGAAAACTTGGGGGGCAAATAAAATCACCCGCGGGCCGCCTATTGGAGAACCCTGCTCTACAGTGTCATCTCACCATTTAATAAACAAAGACAACTACAATACTCAAATCTTTACATTCATACTCTAGCCATTACAAATAGGGAACCACAAATGTATCAAAAAAGCCATTTCTGTGCCAAGATCAGGCTCAATTGCATAGCACAAACACCCTCAGGTCATTTTACATGGGGGTAAAATGTACACAACCTCACAAACGCATACACAGAGGAGGTGCGATTTTCACAGTGAACTGTTACACAGGCATGCATGTCGCCCTGGGAGGCTCACCTCCCCTTCCCATCAGGCCGTCTGTTTAGCATTGGAAAGGTCCCTAGAGCGCCCCCACCGGTGGCTCACCGTTGCATGATGGGCCAGTCTCAGCAGAGCTGGAAGACCCGGACGGCCTCCCGGTAGAAGGAAAAACAATGAGGAGCATTCCATAGCCCATAATCATAAACACACACCCAGACGCCCACAAGGAGCCCAGCACATAACACACTAAGTCGCACACCCACCAAGCAGATTGAAAACAAACACACCCACTCATCCGCACATGTGCACATTTGAACATACATCAGAATGAGTATTGTAAAAATAAAGTAAATACATAAACACCCATACAGTCATTTAGGCTCCACACATTCACGTTTGAACACACACACACACTATGTGTGTTGAAAACACATACACACCCACAACACACGCATCAAGTGCATACAGACTTTATAGATGCCCCTTGATTTACAAAATACAATCAAAAACACACAAAGGTACACCATCAATTTAGGTCTGAACACACTGGCCAAAATAAAAGGGCACATAGATAAAATACTCATCATCATACTAACATACTGTAAACGCCAACCAACACAAATACACACATACAAACTGTGATTCTGTGATTCACTTTTAAACTTAAATCAGTGGGTGGCCTAAGTAACCCTTACTGTCCTTTTCATTTGAGAGTTTAAGTACAACAGATCATGGAGTTTTGAAAATGGAGGCCAAAATCAGTTTTAGGGAAGATGGCGTAGCCGTAGAATGGCGACAATTACACACCAGCATTACATATACAGTCTACTACGCAAAGGGGCCCACGACAACTTAACCCACTCAGCGGAATGAAAGAAAGAAGTACACACACATGCTAACACACACACACACACACACATGCACCAGGGTAGCTGCAGACCTCCAAATCCCACCAAATGAACAATGTGTAGCCCATGGGCAAGGTGAAAGGTCAAGCAGGAAATGGAGCACACAGGAAGTCTCAGTCATGTAGCACCGCTTTGCTTTTTCTTTTTATCCAGAGCTACTTCCTGTCTAATTTCGCACACTCGTGGGCTTGGCCAATCAGCAACCAAGCTCAGAGAATGATGGGGGAGTGGGGAATGAAATGTATAGATAGAGAGCGAGAGAGCGAGAGAGAAAGCGAGAGAGAGAGAGAGATAGAGAGAGAGATAGAGAGGGAGAGAGAGAAGAAAAAAACCCCAATAGGCTTCAAAGACAGCAGCGCGCATTCTCTCAATTCAATTTTCAATTCAATTTCAATTCAATTTCAATTCCATTTCAATTCAATTTAAGGGCATTATTGGCATCATGGGAAATATATGTTTACATTGCCAAAGCAAGTGAAGTAGATAGTAAACAAAAGTGAAATAAATCTCTCTCCGAGCACTGCGCCCCTCCCCCACATGCACACCCCCCCACTCCCAGCTAACTTCCTCTCAATGCATGTGGAGAGCAGAGGAGAGGGGGGAGAGATGGAGGGGAAGAGAAAGGGCTACTGATTAACGGCTCCTATGTACACTCTTTTTGGTTCCTGGCAGAACTCTTTTGGGTTCCATGTAGAACCCTCTGGGGAAAGGGTTCTACCTTGAACCAAAAAGGTTTCTCAAATGGTTCTCCTATGGGGACAGCCAAATAACCCTTTTAGGTTCTAGATAGCAGCTTTTTTTTCTAAGAGTGTATAGAGCAGTAGGGTAACAAGATTAAGCACCGAACTGCCAAAGCCATGATATATGTTGGCACAGTACTACCGCTACAAAGCACTTCAGTCAAAATGCTCACGTCTTCTTCCTATAAGTTGAATGCACCAATTTGTAAGTCGCTCTGGATAAGAGCGTCTGCTAAATGATGTAAATGTAAAATGTATAGCTGTGATGGACCTTATGTGCGTAGACAACATAACGCATAGATTTTATCTGGTATTTACAGCTTGTTATCTGAAGCTTATTTCACTGCAACTATCCGGTGAATTTGACAATAAAACATTCTTGTTATTCTTATTATTTTATTTTTTATGAATGAATGTTTTGATTTCACATTAAAAAAGACCAGTCTGGCAACATTGACATTGAGAAATTATTTCAACACACATTTATTTTGGCTATACCCACAACCGGTGTGTGTTCGAACGGTGTATTCTACAAATGGTGCATTCAGAATGCCTAACGTTGCAATGTACGTATCAAACATTAAATTCAATACTGTTTTTGTTTTGAGAGATCATGCAACATTTCAGCCAAGCTGAATACACCTCACA